ACACACACACTCACAAGCTATATGTGTTAACTATTTTACAGTCAGATATTCACAGATTGTTCAAGAGGCTAACCACTAATTTCACAAGTAATTTTCTTGGTTTTGAATTAGAAATAACGTGTTTTAGTTTTCAAAATATAGCTCAGTTTCACATTGTATATGTACACTGTTTTCTGTAGGAATGACATAACTATATATAGGATCACAATACTCTTTTTATCCATGTGCCAAATGTGAGAAATGATTATTTAATATTTTTTGATGTCTTATGTTACCAAAACATAATAGTTCATAGGTAGAAATTTATGGAATACATTTGGTTAGAAGTTTGTTTTTTCTTAATTACTAAAGGGAATGCTTTCATGACAGTATATCATTCCTCTTGTTGAAATTTCTTCTGTGGTGGTCAGGGCTTGAACCATTGTGGCAATTCTTGCTTTTAAGGATTTTTTTGAGATTGGTAAGGTTTTTGTTTTTTGTTTTTGTTGTTTGATTTTTGTGGTGCTGAGGATCAAACCCAGGGTCTTACACGTGCTTGGTAAGCCCTCTACATCTGAGTTACATCCCCACTCCATTTTCAGTTTATATGTCATGCTTACTTAGGATGAAATCTGTTGTCCCCTGCCAGGTATGGTGGCTCATGCCTTTAATCCCAGCACTCAGGAGGCAGAGGCAGGCAGATCTCTGTGAGTTCAAAGCCAGGCTGGTCTACATAGTGAGTTCTAGGACAGCTGGGGCTACAGGGAGACCCTGTCTCAAAAAGACCAAAAAAAAAAAAAAAAGAAAAAAGAAAAAGAGAAAAAAAGAAATCTGTTGTCCTACAAGAAAAGTGCTCATCATTAGGAGCCAGTTTTACTTTGCTGGTGCTTTGCATAGTAGCAAAATTCTGCTCTTTGGGTCAAAATACAGGCTAGGGTTAAGAGTATTGACAGACATAGAGATGCTGGACAGTTTTCTAATTCTTTTTAAGTCATGTTTCATCAGAATTCCCACAGTAGTATTCCCCGTATCCGTAGATTGGATCAAAATGTGTTCCTATGCCAAGTACAAGTCATGAGTAGATTTTACAGTTTTAGATGATGTAGTTTCTGTTCTGTTAACTATTAAACTGTATGAACTATTGCATTGCCGTAGATCATCTGTGCATTAGGTTTAATAAGCTCTCCTTTTTAAAGAAGGCTGCCTGTGAGCTTCTTCTGTTGTCTCCTCCAAAATCCCTTCTAACTCTGGGATGTTTGGATTGCAGCTGGATTAGATTTGGGGCTATCTTTTCCTTTACTCATAATCGGTAGTTTTTAGAAGTTAACAAAATTGCTTCCTTAAAAAAAAAAAAATTAAGCCCACCTAATTCTGCTGTGCACTTTGTTACTTATATTGACAGTACTTATATAACTGTGATGATGAATTCAGTGGAAAATTATTTCTGTATCGTTTTAGAATTTTGAAAACTTGATAGAGACTGACACTGTTAATTTGAACAGAGTCCCTAAATACCTAAAGTGAACCTTGTTTTTGCCATGTATTTGATGATTTCTTGATTTTTAATTTCAAAAGGATTCCTAGGCTCCAGGTGTTGGGGTGAAGAAGCTTCCATTATTCTTGAGAAAAGGATAGTAGGATGTATATAGCATTACAGGTAACGTGTAATTTTGTGAGGTAAAAGCATATGAGCTAAAATAGGAATCACAGTATTTCAGATTTGCCTTACTGTAAATCCTGACACACCCTAAGAGCTAGTATATCACAAAATCTTTTGCCATCTGAAAAAGGGGAAAATACTAATGTTGGTTTTGGTAGCAGCCTCTGAACATTCAGATTGTATTTTAAATATTTAAGCATACCAGTTGTAGCAAACAAGTCTTTCATTTCATTTTAGCAAGCTTGATTTATTCTCTTTTATAAAAAATTTATTCTATATTAATAACATGTAAGGATTTGAAACTAGAACCATACTATACTTTTTACTCAATCTCTGGCTACACTTGTAATTTACTTCAGTTAATATGAATACGGGGATTAAATTATAACTTGTGCAAAACTGCTTTGTAATGTTTGGTGATTTTTGTAATGTAAGTGAATGGTTAATTCTTTCTTCAATGTATAGCTATTAACCAACCATGCAGTGTCAATTAAAAGTCATTCGATTCTCTTTAGAACTGGATTTGTGATCATGATATACCTGTGGGGGCAGAGAACTTATTTTTTCATTTTGTCAAAATAGGTATTTGCTGACAAGGTTTCAAGAAATATGTTGTTAGATTTTTTAAATGTACAATAAAGTCCATGATTTTTGTACAGTCCTTTGTATGAAATATTTGATATATACTCTGAATTTTATTTTTCCAAGTAATTTCAGATATTTTTAATCTGTTATAACACATTTGGTCTGGCCATTGCAATTCTACAACAGTCAAAGTGGGGAAAAAGTCACTTACTAAAAAAAGTTTGTTGTAGAAGTGAACTAATTTGTAACTAGGGTTTTTTTTTTTTTTTGGTAGCAAAGGAAAGAGACTTCAATAATCACACTAGTGAGTATGTTTTATACTGTTGTACTCCTCAAAAGAAATTCCTGTAATTTAAAAAAAGGCAGATTATTGTTTGCTCCAGTTTAAGTAGTTTGGACACTTTTTTTTTAAAAAAGACAGTCTCACTGTGTAGCCCTTGCTGGCCTGGAACTCCCTATATAGACCAGGCAGGCCTGAAACAGAGATATACTTGCCTTTTCCTCCCAACTGTTGGGATTAAAGGTGTGTACCACCAGATGGCAAAATTTAAGTATTCTTTAGTTACATGTGGTATAGTATAGAAATAAAATTTTAAACTGGCATCTTCGGTTGGTAGTGAGTCCCTCCATACCTAGTCCCAGGCTGCATTCAGTGCAGAAACCATAAACTCATTATTGATATGAAAACTTTTAGTGCCTCTACCAGGGATCACATTAGTCAGTAAGTGGTGAGCTATAACCAGGAATTTTCAGAAAGAAGGCACAGGGTTTCCTGTTAGTGATAGAATTTCAATTCAAGGTTCTGTTTTGATTAGCTTAATTACCCCACCTCTGTATTTGGCATGAAGAAATGATGTCCAACATTAAGCTGGCATTGATACTTTTGCCCACAGATAGTTAATTTCTAGGTCATGTAATGGGGTCAATGTATATTCAGTTGAATCAACAGGATCTATATTCTCTGTAAAAAAAAAAAAATTGCTGTTAAGAGTCAAATTGAAGCCGGGCGTGGTGGTACACGCCTTTAATCCCAGCACTTGGGAGGCAGAGGCAGGTGGATCTCTGTGAGTTCAAGGCCAGCCTGGTCTATATTAGTGGGTTCCAGGACAGCTGGGGCTACAGGGAGACCCTGTCTCAAAAAGACCAAAAAACAAAAAATTCAAATTGAATTCAGAAGTGTTATCTGTTATGTTGAGCACAAAGAAGTTGGATTGATCCACTTAATATAAGATCAGTACAGAATTAGAACTAGTTTTTCCTAGCTTGTAAGGTCTTGCTATGTAACCCAGGGTAGCCTTGAATTTGAAATCTTCCTGCCTTACATCCTGAGTAGGTAGGATTACACATATGTGCCTCTGTGCCCAGACAGGTTTTTAAAAAAATTTTAAATTACCTTTTCAGTTGTAGCAGTGTGCTTAGATGCTATGTTCAAGGGTTTCATGTAGCCCAAGCTTCCTTGAACTTGCCATGTGATAATCCTGAATTTTTTTTTTTTTTTTGAGACAGGGTCTCCTCGAAGCTCCATTTGGCCTGGAACTTCCTATGTAGAACAGGATGGCCTGGATCTCACAGAGATCCTGTCTGTCTCCTGAGTGATGAGGTGATGAGTTTAAAGGTGTGTACCACCATGCCCAGTGATGACATTGAATTCTTTTTTTTTTTTTTTTTTTTTGATTCTTTGAGACAGTCTCCCTTTAGTCCCAGTTGTCCTGGAACTCACTATGTAGACCACGCTGGCTTTGAACTCACAGAGATCCGCCTGCCTCTACCTCCTGAATGCTAGGATTAAAGGCATGTGCCACCACACCTGGCCCAACCTTGAATTCTTGATCCTCCTGCGTCTACCTCCCAAGTGCTGGTATTACAGGCGTGTGGCTTTTAAAATACACGTATTTTAAAATTTATTTTTTGACAAATTCATACATGCACATAGTGTATTTTGATCATATCACCCCCATTACCATTTTCTGTCTCCCTTACCATTCCTGCTGAGCCCCTTCTTACCCCCAACAAGTTCTCTTCCTACTTTATTATTTGACCCACTGAGTTTAATTAGTGTTGCTTGCATGAGCATGGGTGGGAAGTTATTTACTGGAGTATGAACAACTTACCAGGGGTTACATCACTGAAGAAAGTGACTCTCCTTTCCCTCAGCCACCATTAATTGCCAGTAGTGCCTCAGGGAGTGGTGGGGCCTCATGAGACCCTCCCTCATCCATGATAGAGTTTTTGTTTTATTATTTGTGTGTGTGTATACATGTGTGCTAGCCATGGTACACATATGATCAGAGGACAACTTACAGGAGTCCCTTCTCTGTTCTACAGATTGAGCTCTGATTTTCGGTTGCCTGGCAAGCACTTTTACAGCTTACTCCATGATGGAATGTTGATGGACCCAATCTCGTGTAGGTAACCCCGGCTGCTAGGAGTTCATGAAGCATGATGACCATGTCAGATCCAGAGGACAGTGTTTCACAGCACAATTCCCCATCCTCTGCTTCCTCTTCTGCCATGTTCCCTGAGTTTTAGGCCAAGCAGTCAATAGTCACGTTTTCTCAGCACTTTGACCAGTTATAAGTCCCTGCATTAACTACCACCGACTGCAGAAAGAAACTTCTCTCACTAAAGTTGAGATGATGAGCACTGATCTGAGTATAAACATAAATATTTAGAAGGCATCTCCCTCCTAGGGCCTATGACCTCCCTGGCCATGGGCTTTTTTTCTTTTCTTTGAACAGGTTTACAGTAACAGGCATGAATTCCTTCCTGTGGCAAGGGCGTCAGATTCAATCAGAAAGCAGTTGGTTACCTAGCATACCTAGCAGCATACCTGATCCATAGCTAGGTAAGACAGTGATGACTTTGCCCCCAGCAGCCAGCATAGCACCTTCCAGCACTATGAATGGTAGCCAGCAGGAAGGAAACTTTCAACTTAGTTCCAGCTTGATTTCTCTGGGCTCTACAACCAAAGTATATGGTGTCTTTAGCAACAGGGTCTTACCATATAGTTCTGGTGGGTAGTCAAGAGTAGTGGCAATAGCCTGTACTGTTTTGGAGGTCTCCCTGACCAGTAACTCTTAGGGAGGTATCCTACACAGAACTTTTTTCTTTTTGTCAGTTCCTTTATTTTTTTGTAAATTTTTTATTGAATTTTATTTTTAAAAATATTTTATTTTTTATTTTTTTTATGTGTATGAGTGTATTGCCTGCATGCACGTGAGTGCACACATGTCGTGCATTGCCATGGAGGTCAGAAGAGGGCTTTGGGTTCCCCTGGAACTGGAGTTAAGGATGATTTGTAGCCACCATGTGCGTACTGGAATCGAACCCGGGTCCTCTGCAAGAGCAGTCAGTGCTTCATACAGAACATTTTAATCAGTCTTGGTCATCTTTGTACCCCCTTCCCCATTGGCAGTTTTCCATAGCCCCCCACCCCACTGGAATTCATACATTCTGTCATTTGTGTTAAGGCCTATTGTGTCAAGTCCCCAGTTGTCCCTCAGTGCAGTTCATCCACTGAGCTGTAGGCGGCCTATCTAGAGTTCCTCCCTTTAAAAAGAGCAGCTCTTCCTCATCCAGCAGTAATCAGATGCCAGTGATTCTTCAACTAAGATTGAGGCTTGTTGCCCATTTCCACAGTTCTGTGCTGAGGTTTGTCTGCTTGAGTATGCATGGGTCTTGTGCATGCTGACACCATTGCTGTAGGTTCATATGAGCAAGGTCCCAGGAGCTTGTAGGACTCAATTTCCATATAATCGTGCACTTCCACCTTGGCTCTTGCAGTCTTTCTGCCCCCTGTTCCGTAATGGTCCTTGAGCCCTAGGTGGGGGGGGTTTAATATATGAGTCCTGTCCAAGGACCTGTACTCTGTAGACTCTTACTCTCCATGCTTTGACCATTTGTGACCTTTTGTGTTCCTGGCCCTCTGTTGCATGAGGGTGCTTCAGTGATGAGAATTGAGAGATGCATGAGATGCATTAGTGTCCTCTTTACCCCTTGTTCTATGTTCTGTGAGCCTTGGGTGTAGACATTGCATCATAGATGTGCCACTTAGGCAATTCACAGACAATGTCTATGTGACCAGTTGTGGAACTCTGTAATAGTTTCTGTCTGTGGCAAAAGAAGCTTCTTCGATGAGTGGTGACTGAGATACTTGTCTAAATATAAGGCTCCATATTTTGCACAAAGTAAGAAATTACATTTGTCTAGGGATGTGATAACCTTGGGGGTTTCTCTAAGATCTAAGACCTCTCCAGCCATGTGTACCCACACAGAACCTTTTAAAGAATGTAGACGGCACTGCACTGAGATTTTAGTTGCTGAGTAAAGGAAAAAAAGAAACATCATACATAAAAGATTTTTAAGAAAAATCTTCAGTTTATACCTTTCTGTCTAGAATAGCTCAATTACCAGGTTCTTGTTAAAGCTCCTTGTCCATAAAGGTCATGTTCTTTGTAAAGAACATACGCTTTTAGAAGATTGGGTAATGGAAGAAATGACATGAAGACTGGGCAGCGCAAGCGGAAACGTCCCATACACTTCCGGATCTTCAGGCGGCACAAATGTTTTAGGGAGCGAGGGTTTGCTAAAACGAGAGACAGGCACATTATTAAAAAAGAATTGCTTTATTTTTCAGTGATCTGAGAGTTTAGTTAGCAAATCCGACACCTACACTACCAGGATTTATAGTTGCTGTCACTAGAAGGAAAACAGCTTTTCAGTTCTCATTGTACCCTTCCATATAGATGCAGTTTCAGAATGACATGAATTGTGAGTCTGGCTTATGAGACCCATAGCCTTAAATATCTGCTAGTCTCCCTCCACCCCTCAGTCTTGTCTCTCAAGCTGGCTTAAAGCTCAAAGATCACCCTGGGAGAAATGAGATAAAAGAAATTCTTAATTTGACCTATGTGAAAAAATGTGTTTGGAGAAGCATCATTTGATACACTATAGGATTAGAGCTTAGATCATCATCTTTTTTATTGCCAATTCATAGCTTTTAATTCCTGGGTATATATAGTTCTTTCATAGCCATGATTTAAGTGGATTGGGAAAAAAAGTGATTAGATTTCCTTGGCTGGAAAATGGTGATAAGCACAGAGTAAGTGTAGTTGTGAATAGCACCATGTTTACAAAGAATCAAATGTTCTGTTCCCTTTAAGTCAAGCTTTTAACCAGAAGAGAAGAGTGCTCTACAAAAAACCAAGAATACAATTAGTATTTTGGTAAGAATTTTCTGTAAGAAAGATACTCACTCAAGATAAAATGTATTTCTGACCAGAGCCTCTGTTTTTCGAGCACAGCTTTCAACTTTGAACAGATTTGAACTTGATCAACGTAATCAAGCATCACTCGAACAACCTTTCCAGAGAGATGCTGTAGCCATGACAAAGTTATGACTTCACAGAACTGAGAGGAAAGCAATCAGAAAGCAAATGAAAAGCACTCAGTATCTGTGGGTTAACATAGCAATCAAAAACAGTCCTAAACTCAAAGCCATGAGCTAAGCTTTCACTGGTGTGACCTCAGAACCATATAAGATGTAATGGAGACACAACAGATCCTTACATATCTGATAGTCTCTTGGTCAGTCACTTGGCTGCCTGTAGCAAGGATTACTTTGCAGCAAGGTGCAGCCTTCTATGTTCTAGCTGGGAGATGTAGTGGGAGGGTGAGCAGCTCCACAGGTACCCTCAATAAAGAGCAGGATGTGTGCAGCTGCATCTGGCTAGCTTGAACCGGGCTGGGAGTTTCTTCTCTAAAACATGAAGCTGTCCAGTTGGGAAGTTATTTACCTCTGGCTCTTACAGGAGAGGAGAATTGAGACATTTTGGTTATTTTTTAACACTTATTTTTGCATTTTCTATGACTTATAACCACACTGACTCTGATACATGAATGATGTGACAGTTTCTGCCTTTAAATACTTCATGTCCTTTTAGATAAGATGTCCAAATGAGAATTGAAATGATACTGTAAGAACAGTTTAGGAAATAGTATCAGATGGTTTATGTCTAAATGCCAAATCAATATACAAATAACTCCTACAATAATCTCCCCCAAATAACAAATCATACAGGATAGAATCTTTTACTTCACAGAACTGATTTAAAAGTGCTTTCCTGGGGCTGGAGAGATGGCCCAGCAGTTAAGAGCCCTGGTTGCTCTTGCAGAGGACCCAGGTTGGACTCCCAGCACCCACATGGTGGCTAATAGCCATCCAAAACTCGAGTTTCAGGGGGTCTGATGCCCTCTTCTGACCTCCACGGGCTTTGCACAACATGGGTGCGCTTACATATATGCAGGCAATACACTCATACAGGTAAAATAAAAATAATAAAGTGCCATCTCATTTGTTTTCAAATTTTGGTGATCTAAATTCAGGCATGTATAAAACATCAGCTACATACTAAACACAGACCTGAAAGCCAGGGAAGCAAGATCACTAAGCGCTGATGTTCATGTATTCATGGGGGAGATAAAATCATTAACATATAAAAAATGACAACTGTAGATCTATAAAAGAAATGTTCCCCACAATAAGAGAGTGATTAAGAAAGGGAACTACTTAAGATGGCTAGGGAAGGGGCCTCTGGGGAGAGGATGCTTGAAATAAGACCTGAGAAAAAGCCAATTAAAAAGCCCTGAAGAGACAACTTGAGGAAAATAGAAGTGAGCAGAGTAGGCCAGGCAAACCAAAGAGCCTGCTGTGAGATTAGTGTCTCAAAGTGGAGAGGCAACAGCAACTTTATTGAACTGCTTCTTTCATTCAGGGAGGTGATCAAAGGAAGTAATCTAATAAAAATTTAGAACTAAGAGAGATAACTAAAAATCCTAGGGATTACAGGTATGGGGAGCCTAGAAACATTTTAATTAGATAAATCATTCAGAGAAAAACTAGATAAAGTATAAAGCTGGATTCATTCTTTAAAACTTTGGGCTTAGTTGGGTTTGCAGGCGTACGCCTTTAAAATCCTCCTTTGATCCCAGCATTCAGGAGGCAGAGGCAAGCAGATACCTGGTTTACATAGCAAGTTCCAGGCCAGCTGGGGCTACCAGGAGACCCTGCCTCAACAAACAAAAATTTGCTCATGTTGAATTTGAGAACCTTCCTTTGCTTCTCGGTCTTTTGGCTAAGATCAAGTCTGAGAACCTTTCTGATATTTCTAACTAAAGTCACTTTTTCCTCTGAATTGTTTCTGTGCTGTTTCTCTTTCCACTGTTGGGTTTAGTTACTTTCTCATATATATCATGCTAGAGTCTTCCCAGCATGAGTCTTTCCAAGGGCAAATTATGTCTATTGCTATATCCCAAGGCCTCAGATGATTGCTTAGGTCATACCACCAACACTGTGGGCTTACCATAGTATCTTTAATAACTGTGGGTGTCCAGCCTTCAAATGTACAGAAATGATGGACTTTGTCCCCATGGGGACAATCAAAGCATCGCTTAGTGTCATACCCATAATTCAACAGCATCCTGAGCATGACTTCATCTTTCAATGTATATTGCAGTGCTGATGGAAAATGCAAAGGGTTAACCCTGCAGAAGTAATTGACATTGGCCCCATGTCTCAGTAGCAGACTTATCAGCTCATAGTTGCCCATCCTGAGAGCTATCTGCAGGCAGTTAACTGGGTCTTGATTGGGCAGAGCTCCAGCACCCAAAAGCAACTTAACTGAGGAGAGGTCACCATTTGAAACGGCAAAATATAAGGCTGACTTCCTCTGATCATCGTAGTGTTTGCGGATTCTTTGATCTAGCATGAAATTCACGTCAAATCCAGCCTGGATGAGAAGTTCCAGGCATTGTGGGTGTGCTCCAGCTGCTGCACAGTGCACAGGACTGATCCCACTCCTCTTGATGGCAGCAAGATTTGTAACTGGAACCAGCATCTTTAGAGCTCTGAGAAAGAATTTCAAAGTGCACTTCAGATGGGTTCTTGTTAAGATGCTCATGATTCTTTTTATACTTAAACAAATGGTATGTTAATAGGTAGTATTTCAAATCCCTAACA